ATGCCCAGCTAATTTTTTGTAGTTTTTTTTAATAGAGACGGGGTTTCACCGTATTGACCAGGATGGTCTCGATCTCTTGACCTCGTGATCCACCCGCCTCGGCCTCCCAAAGTGCTGGGATTACAGGCTTGAGCCACCGCGCCCGGCCGAACTGTGTTGGTTTTCACTGATAAATTTGCTTTTTATGATCTATCAAGATGTACTTACATGAAAAGTTGAGATCATAAAGTTTCAGTCTGGAAAGATAAGATCTAGTTTGTAAACCAGAAGTTTCAATACTTGTAGCAGTGTTTTTCACAGCATGTATATAATCATGTATGTATGGTGCATATATCACCATTAAATGTATGAATAATCTCATAGTACCAGAATACCTAAAGATATAAACATTGATTGTGCATATTGTTTTAATTGCTTACATTTTCTTAAAAATTAATTTTGTACCAAAATTGAGTAGAAATGAACATGATTACTTATACGGTTTTATATAAAAAGAGGGGTGGATGACTTCTTGGACAGTACCCCACTGTTGCTAAGTTTCTTGGGCAATGCTTTAAAGCACTGGACTTCAGAACTTTCCCATCCCAAGTTTACAGAACAATATGCAAAGCCCACAAATAATAAAAAATGGAACCTCCACTCTAGACATACCATGAAGTCTATAAACCACAACTTGGAAAGCTATTAAGGTGACTCATGTGCAAGAGGAGCCTGGGGAGAGTCAAGACCGGGAAAGAGATCTGTATGAAACCTTTTCCTTCTGAAGGCTCTTCCACAGGCACACCACTAGATGTCACTGTCCTATCACTGTCCTTTGCTCAAATGTGGAAGCATGAAAGGTTAGTTATCAGGCTTGTCCTCCCTTTTTTTTTTTTGATGTGGAGTCTCTTTCCTGTTGCCCAGGATGGAGTGCAGTGGCGGGATCTCAGCTCACTGCAACCTCTGCTTCACCAGTTCAAGCGATTCTCCTGCCTCAGCCTCCTGAGTAGCTGGATTACAGGCACCTGCCACCACGCCCAGCTAATTTTCGTACTTTTAGTAGAGACGGGGTTTCACCAGGTTGGCCAGGCTGCTCTTGAACTCCTGACCTCAGGTAATCTGCCTGCCTTGGCCTCCCAAAGTGTTGGGATTACAGCCATGAGCCACCGTGCCTGGCCCTCCCTTCTCTTTTTAAAAAATGGGGACAGGGCTGGGCACTGTGGCTCAGGTCTGTAATTCCAGCACTTTGGGAGGTGGAGGCAGGTGGATCACTTAATGTCAGGATTTTGAGACCAGCCTGGCCAACATGGTGACACCCCATCTCTACTAAAAATACAAAAAAAAAAAAATCAGCCAGGTATAGTGGTACGCACATGTGATCCCAGCTACTTGGGAGGCTGAGGTAGGGGAACTGCTTGAACTCAGGAGGTAGAGGCTGCATTGAGGTGCAATTGCACTATTGCACTCTAGCCTGGGCAAAAGATGAGATTCCTGTCTTTAAAAAAAAACGAGGCTAGGGCCAGGTGTGGGGGCTCATGTCTATAATCCTACCTAGCACTCTGGGAGACTGAGGTGGGTGGATCACTTGTGCTCAGGAGTTCAAGACCAGCCTGGACAACAAAGTGAGAACTTGTCTCTATAAAAAAATAAAAATAATAATTAGCCAGGTATAGTGGTGTACACCTGTAGTCTTAGCTACTCAGGAGGATGAGGAGGGAGGATCCCTTGAGGCAGGGTGGTCAAGGATGTAGGGAACTCTGATCCCACCACTGCACTCCAGCCTGGACAATAGAGTGAGACCCTGTCTCACAACAAAATGGGGAGAGACGGTTTAAGCACATAGTATTTTTGTCCATCACAGCTATACGTTTCTAGTTTTTTGTTTTCTAGAGACAGTATCTAGCTCTGTCGCCCAGTCTGAAGTGCGGCAGCCCAATCAGAGTTCACTGAAGCCCTGACCTCTGGGCTCAAGTGATCCTCCCACCCCAGCCTCCCCAGTAGCTAGGACTACAGGTGCATGCTATTACACCTGGCTAACTTTACTTATTTATTTAGAGATGGAGTTTCACTCTTGTTGCCCAGGCTAGAGTGCAGTGGAATGATCTCGGCTCACTACAACCCCTGCCTCTTGTATTCAAGTGATTCTCCAGCCTCAGCCTCCCGAGTAGCTAGGATTACAGACACCCACCACCTTGCCCAGCTAATTTTTGTATTTTTAGTAGAGAAGTGGTTTTCCCATGTTGGCCAGGCTGGTCTTGAACTCCTGACCTGAGGCGATCCACCTCCCTCGACCTCCCAAAGTGCTGGGATTACAGGCATGAGCCACTGAGCCCAGCCCCTAGCTAACTTTT